GAGTGCTTCCTTATTCAGAGCAGGGCCTCCTAGTTCACAGCGGGGGTCTCCCAAGCTAGCAAATGGTTTCCTTAAACCAGAATTGTGCTTTTTGTCCATAGCGTGGGCTACGTGGCTCATAAAGGTGATTTAGGCTCGTGGCTCATAAAGGTGATCATGATCTAGAAACGGGTCCCCTGATGCAAAAAGACTCTTCTCGGCTCAATTTAGTGCCCCTTAGCACAGAAACAGGGGCCTCCCTGATCTCTACGTAACCTGCCTGAGTTGCGAAATATTAAGTTTAGGCAAAATGGCCCCACAAAATGTGTGTGGCGCAAATACACACTCTTGTTTTCTCTGTTCCTGCCCTCCCCCTTGCTGCGTCGCCCCTGGTGCTGCACACGCTAAACCGTTCCGAACATCAATTCGAAAAGCGTGCGGGTGAAATCTACCGTCGCACTGAACTAATGTCATGGTAGAGCGTTCGAAGGCCCTACTTTCTCGAACGTGGTCATTCTCGTCCGTATGTCGGCCGCCGCCTGGCGTTGGCCGTGAGTCCGCCACGACGCGGCCAGTGGAGGTAGCAGCGGCGGCAGGCGTCGACGTTTTGTCTTCTAAAGGTTCGCGAGCGCGAGATATTTTCCGTTATTTTCATAACTGTAAGCGTATATTTTGACTCCGTGCTGGAACACGTCCAGCAGTGGCGGGGCCTGTGGAGCTTTGGGGGGGGGGGGGGGCGTGACCACCCTATGGAGGTGGCTGTGAGTCCCTGGACCGACGGCCCAGTTCTTTTTCGGCAGTCTATGATGCTCTCACATTCTTCAATACATTTCTAAACGGGCCTCGAGACATAAAATAAAGTCTCGACCTTAAAAATTTCCTCTGAATCCAAAATCAACGTTCTCACAGCGATGAAGAGGGGGCCTTAGCCGAAAGATCCCCCTAGGACTCGGTTGGGCCCCTCCTGGGCAGATTCCTGGCTAGGCCACTGACGTGTAGACCTTTCAGTGGCCATGTCAAGACACCAAAGAAAGCGAGTACAGGTGTATCACACGCCCAATGAAAACAAAACTCGACAGACATACAGCATAAAGCATTTCAAAATTGATTCATCGGTTACTGGACCGTTTTCAGTCACCCAGCCACCTGATCTTAGCTGTTCAATGACTCTCGGCCTGTGGAGATTGCAATGCTAGATGTTGTTGTTTTTAGTAAGCAATGATAGTATGCATTCACATGACTTCTTGATGTATTTGGCACTAGTTGATTCTTGAGAAAAGGTGAACATTTAACATTCCTTGTCGAGCATGGGTTGGTGAGATCGACACAAATATTGGACCCCGTTTCGATCTACGCGGAAGTTCAGTCAACAGGTGACGTGCTCAGTGTCTGTTCAGTCCCTCCCCATGCCATATATATATATATATATATATATATATATATATATATATATATATATATATATATTGCAGCGCCCTCACTATTATCGGTTTAGGAAGAGCCGACGGAACCATGTAAAATTAATAGCGCTGATGGCTTATTCCATAAAATCACTTAATGTCTGGTTCCTCCATTTTATTGACTTGCAAATGAAAGAAGAACTGCGCCATCTGGTAGCCTCTCGTTTTGACAGCAGTTAAAGAAGGCGCGAATGCAATTAAAAGGAGGTCATTCGGTCCCTTCGACATAAGATGGGCTAGATCCGAGGAATTAATTTGTTTAGGGACCTTCGAGAAAAGGACCCATTCAATCCGGTGCCTCTCCTTAACAGCATTCTGGCTCAGTACCTGCCTGGGAATCATGACAGGACCTTTTTAACTTCTTCGGTGTGAGGGAATGCTCCCGCACTTAACCAAATCCCTCTCTGCTGATCAGATATCCCCCATCCCCCCCCCCCCCCCCCTGCTATATCCAAAGGGGCCACGGGCAATGCCTTTGGCTCCGAAATGGTATGCGAGAAGTTGGCGATTTATTCGGTGTCCTCGATTGTTAAAGGGCCTTCCACGCTGCCCTTGGGCTCTTCGCATCTGCTCGGAGGTCCCGACGGTGCTGTCGGGGGACCTATGGTCAGCCGGGCGATCTCGATTAATCAGTGGTCTTTCACGAATTCTTTGCATTTGCCGGAAAACTGTAACGACGGTAGCATGGAGCCCCATTGGCTAGTTCCCGGGAACTCTCAGTCGCTCAGAGAACGTTCGCGATAGTCTCGAGTTCTTCCCACTTGCTCGGACGGCCCTGCGCTATTCCTGAGGGCCAGGTAAGGTACTTTACCGAGACGTTCGATGCTTGGGTGCCCTCTACACTGGTGCAGAGCTCTTCCCACTTTATCTCACTTGCGGAGGGTCCTGCTCTCCCTCCAGGGGCCCTTCACGATGGATCCACCGGGCACTTTTGATTGTGCAGGGGCCCGTCACATCGTCTTAGATACTTCATACTGGATCGCGCTGCACTCTAGATCGTCCGGGGCCATCCGCACTGGTTTTAAGTCCTTCTCATTCGCTCGGAGCTCTATGCTCTCTGGCTGCGGGTTTCGGTATTGCCGAGGCACTCCCGATCGTTCAGGGGCCCGCTGCATTGGCTTTCGTAGACGCTCAATTTATTACACAGGTTTAGTTGTGCATTTGTCGATAATGCAAGACTGTTAAGTGCAATTAAAACTCGCGAACGCGACCCATTGCGACACGATTGTTTACGCGATCACATCGTACAATTGCTAGAGATAACGGGAAAATACTGATCGGGAGAAAAACGATGAAAGTACTGTGAATGATACAACTATCTGCACATATCGAGGGGGTATTACAATTGGTTTGATTTTGTAACATCATTTGCAAGACATGCCTTTTTACACAGAGGAGTGAGGTGCTACCCGAGTAACGGGTTCCAAGCAATCAAGCTCAAGCAATGAGACCCTGGGGAATTCACTACGATCTTCGGAAATTGGCTTGTTTTTTAGGATCCTGCGAAAACCCTACATTAAAATGATGGTATTTAAAGGGACAACTCGATTTTCTATTTCACACCCAGAAGTAGTCAGTTGCGGGACTCTGCGTTAGTCACGTGTCACCGCGATCACCAAATCAGCTTGTCAGATAGCTGCCGGCCCCTGGCCAAGCAGCCGCCAGCGCAAAACCGCCCAGCGGCAACAAAGCTCCAGATCAACCGTCGTGCTGGATTATGGCGGCATTTAGCAGCCAACTTTAACCAATTTCTATTTGGAATGCTTCGCCTTCGACATATTTTTCAAAATCCTTCGCTGTCAATGGAAGAGTCCATCAGACTGGAAAAAATGAGCGCACTCAATGTTCTTACCTAGGTAGCACTCAGGTAGGAGCATACACAGCCGTAATGGTTGGGTAGTTGTGCTTTTGGCTCCGACGTGGAGGTCTGCTAGTGAAAAACCTCTGCTCCAAAAAGAACAATTTGGGGGGGGGGGAATTATATACAATAAGGAACCACTTCCCTTCGTATTTAGGCCGTCTTGAACTGAAACAGAAGCCAGAAGGTACCAGAAAATGCAATAATTTTTATTTAAAGGCTGGTCAATGACTTGCACTGTAGTTGATTGTACCATTTCTTACATATGCTATTCCATATGTTATGATACTGTTTTGCTAAAGGTATGTTGCCGAAATGTCAGTACATCTACGCCTCCATTCTCCTGGTTTGTTTTTCGAGAAGCCAGGCTGTTGATACTGTTTTATCTACGTGAATAATGTCTTTTGCAAATGCACTGAGCAACTTACAAACTAAGCACCTGTCCAATAACGCTAGCACGACAAGTGCATTCTTCAAGCAATCTTCAATCTTGTGTAGTATCGTAGTTCTTTTTTGTTATTGCCTCCTTTCACGGGTATAATTTGTTGTTTGCCTGCAATGGCTTCGAAATGTTTTAGTCGCAATATGCTTTTGTGTGGAAACGAGCGTGCGATTGCGACTGTAATAATTTCACTTTATCATTTTCAGTGCAAAGCGCGGTGGCCAAACAAAAAAAAAGATATTGATTTAACTGGCTTGCCGAATTTGTGAGTGGCTAAAAAGGCGCTTTCTCAAGCAAGCATGTTCTGCTCACTTTTATTTTGGGTGATTTTAATTATGAAAGTTACCAAAGCTGCTTTCCCTTCAATACCCCGTTTTTGACGCGTGAAAATGGATGGCAGTTCGGTATTTCTGGCTTAAATCTGCGTTGAGAGCCGGCAGCCGGCTTCATTTCGTACGCATTGCAAAAACGTTCAATGTTTGAAAGCCTTCTGAGAAAAATAGGCATACGCTTTCTGTATACAACATACCGTATATAATAGACATAAACATATATCCCCTGCAAAACATCAGTAACATCATATGCAAGGATAAAGGCCTTCAGCGCATGTTTTTTTGGAATTGTGGGCTCAAAGTTCTTGTGTTAAGCCAACGATCTTCAAGATACAAAAATGTTCTGGTTAAACGATGCCAAAGTGTTAACAACGACTTTTTTACTCTTGAGGATAACGCAGCTCAAAATAATAGTTGCCACCAACGTAATCGTAAAACCAGCACTATATCATCCTTATACCAGTGCCTCCTGGTATATTGAAGGTTCATAACTCAGCATGAAAACTTTGGGCTTATCATGCAGAACACAATTAACTAGAACGACGCTACTCCACAACCATGTTGTCCCATATGTCTTATCCTGTGACACACAGTCCATGAAATGGGCACATTTGGGGCAGAAAAAGGAGAAAATAATAAGCATGTGGGGACTGCAAAAGTACTGTCAGCATAAACGTACCTTTTCGGTCCCTACGATACAAGCAGGGGGGATGTCGGCATAGTGTTTATGAACGTGGCGGTAATGTCATTACGTGCTGCTATACCTTTAAGCCGATTTTTTTTTGTAGCGTTCAGCTCTTGCCTTCCTTGCCGTGATGTCCTCTCCCCTCCCCGAACACCATTCACCCTGACCCACGTTGAAATACGGATCGTGAGTGGTGTGCCATTGGTCTCTATGTGAGCCTGTCTCGGTCCGGTGCAGGGTTTAGATGCAGAGCACGGCGTCGGTCATGCTCTCCTCGATCCATGTCAGCGCCGATGTGACGCGTGCAAACACGTCCGGAATGTTGGGGTTAGCGCAAGGGTTGCCCAGCGATGTGAGCCCGATGAGCGTGTAGCGGTCGGAGACGGACGTCACCAGCGGGCCGCCGCTGTCGCCGTTGCAGACGCCCTTGCCGCCGGAGGGGAGCCCACCGGCGCAGATCATGCTTTCACGCGCAAGGCTGCCCCAGATCTAGATGCCCCAGTAACGTCCTGCGGGTGTTGCAGGATTTGGACGACCGAGTAGCGGATCTCGCCGTCCGGCACACTGATCCGGTGGTCGCCGAGCAGCACCTGGATCTGGGAGGCAGATGCTCCGGCCGTGCAGTGCGCCGCCGTCAGCACGTACCGGTTGTTGATGACGCTGTCGCCGCAGAAGGTGCGCGTGCCACCGGGGCGCACCAGGCCGGCCTGCCACGGGTACTCGTTGACGTCGGTCTCAGTGCCGTCTACGACCCTGCTGCGCCGGTCGACCTGGCCTCAGCAGGGGCCATAAGAACTGCTAGTGGTGGAGCCAAAAGAACTAGCGGCTCGCGGGTCAGCACGGAGTCGTAAGGTGGCACGGTCGGACATCTCGCTCAGCGTCCGCCGCAAGGGTAGGGGAGTTGCTGCACCGTCAGAGGCCGGCTCCAGTGGCAGAGGTGCTTCCTCCAGCTCTTTACTTGGTAGCAGGGACGCTGTCCTCACCGTTTCCTGACGTGACAGCCGAGGCCTGCAGCTCGACGGCTGGAAGCAGAGGTGCCCCCTCCAGCTCTTAACTTGGTAGTAAGGACGCCGTCCTCACCGTTTCCTGACGTGGCAGACGAGGCCTGCTGCTCGACGGCAGGAAGCAGTGGTGCTCCCTCCAGCTCTTTACTTGGTAGCAGGGACGCCGTCCTTACCGTTTCTTGACGTGGCAGCCGAGGCCTGCAACTCGACGGCTGGAAGCAGAGGTGCTCTCCAGCTCTGAGGTAACGATTTGAGCGGTAAGGGGGCTGCAGTCAGGTGTAGGTGCGCTCCGTCGGGGGACACGTCTACTGGTACTGGCTTTCCCCGCTGAGAGGCTAGGGCGAGTGAGACGCCCAGGACCAAATATCACGTCAGGACGAGGGTGTTCAGGACTGGTCGGCGATCCTTGCAGCGATTCAGTCAGCTTATCTGCCCCTCCAACCGAGCACAGGCGTCAGGCGACGCGCCCTGTGTACTGTCCCCGTTGACAGCTCCCACGTGCGGCAGCCAGAGTTATTACGGTGAAGGTTGGCGGCTCAGCTGGTGCGTTGTTCACGTTCCGGGTAAAAGGCATCCATAACGGCGTCCAAGCCAGGTGTGGGCAGCCATGCATCTTCTCAATTGTCGTGGATTGTGGCGGGAAGGTCATGCCAAGATCAGAGGGGGGGGGGGGGGGGGGCAGGTGTCATGCAATGTCAGACTCGCCAATAGCTTTGCCTTTCATTATGGTCGTTACGTCGGCTGTGTTTTCCGAATCGCCCCACGTGTGGGATGACGAGCCAGGTCATCGAGGAGACAGCAGCTGTGCATATATTTGCAAGCTAATATCGCATTTCAGCCTGGTAAAAGCGGACTCTACTCAAGTTATCAGGCAACAGTTCGTCGGTGTTCGCCAGGCAGTCACCCGTGAAGTGAAGTTGATGGGGGGGATGTCGGCATCCTAACATGAATAACATGCATTTCGTGGCTCAACGCGGGTAAATAGTGTGGTGGTTGAGCTGCGCCTCTCTGTGCGTTGAGCTTAAACTTGCATACCGAACAAATTTGCTTCAGGCGATAACCAAATGGCAGCATCTTATTTGCCACGTACCTTCGGTGAACGGAAATGTGCTGGGACAAAGTTCAGGTAGCTCTATGCTATGCACTCTACGCTATGCTATGTGGTTTTTACGATGTTGATCTAATATGATTGTCCGTCGCTATGGTTACTGTATGTTTATGTTATATATGCTAATGTTGCCGATTTACCTAGTTCACCAGCCACCTCTCTAAACTGCACTGGACACAATTGCTTCGTGCGGTAAATGACATATTTGCATCCTACCATGTACGGCGAACGGAGTTATGTTTGGGCAAACTCCAGGTTACTCTGGTGCCAAAGGCTCCATTCTTTTTTATATAGCTTTCACTGACAGAGAATGTTACCACTTTTGTTAGTGGCAGGGTAGTGGCCGAGTTATCCAACCAAATTACCGGGTGTTAACGACACACTTACCACTCAGGTACTACACGGGACTGGTCTCTCCTACAGCCTCCCTGCTGCGTTTACAACACTTATACCAGGCTCGCACGACCCCTCCTTAGTTTCACAAACTAGCTCTGCATCTCCTCCTTAGTTTCACCAACCAGGGGGCAAACCTCCCCAGCACCATCCACGTACCACTCTGTCAACAAGAGCGTGCGAATCTGTTACCTGCACCGCGCCATTCCACTGTCTCTCCACTAGGCTCGCTCATGCGTCAGCTTTAAATTTTATAGGAACGAGCAAACATCAGATAATATTGCTTTTTATCACGCGAAAAGGGCACCTAAGCGGAAGCTTTCGTATGCCAAATCAGCGAAGAAATCAGGCAGACAGGACTGCATGTAACAGTCAGGTTAACAGCTTGATCAGAACACGGTAAAGTAGCTGCAGCGTCAGACACGTTAAACGACACAGCGGCTCTTCAGTGGCACAGTGGCACTTCAGTCACACAGCATCAAATGATAACTGCGAGCCAGCAGGCGATGTGGCCACCAGACACGACTCTCTGTGTTCTGACATCTCCAGCGTACTCGGGTTCAGAACGATTTTATCGCGAGAAGTCAATGACGCTGTCAGGGAACCACGTTCCCCATGATGCAGCGCGAGGGACCGCAGGCACCGCATGGACGCTGACAGATCAAGACCGCGGTCGTACGCAATCACACTCTGTCATCATCACAATACAACAACCTGCGACTGCCTTCGGATTCAAGACTCTCAGGTTGTTTCCAACCAACCGCTTTCACATATTGCAGTGCGCAGCAAGACGGAAGTGTCGGTCGGGCCGCCTCTGTGATGTGGAGGACATGTTTCAGAACAAATCAGATCAGCTTCTTCAGGTGTGCGCCGCTACCTTTTTGGAAGGACTCATACACCGGCACTGTTAGCGTCAGGATCACCTCACCGAAGCACACCGTCGTAGCCGCAGTCGTTCCCTCCACAATAAGCCGGAATGAAAAAGATATGGGTCGGGATGCAAGTTCTCAACGTAATTATTTCACAAAGTTGATAGTTCGTGAAACAAAAATAAATTGCTTAACTTGGCAAATATACATTTTCCTTGATTTTGAGCATAAAGCGCATGTCGGCCACATTTTTCCCTCCTACAAACATCATTTCAGGTCAAATGGTTTCACCAATATCTGGAAAGTGACTACACCCAGAGACGTGCTTACACCAATGACATATATCGTGCGCATGATTCTTATGCAAGGACTATTATGCTAAGGGTGCTTTTCCGCAGATGGGGAACTGTCAGAGTCACCGACCGAGCAACCGGGAAACGTGTTTGCAGAACACCCGTTCGTGAAAGAAGCGCCGACAGTCTTGAAACAGCCGGTCTCGGACGGAGTGGCGGGTGAAACCTGCACGTGGCGGATGTCATCAATCTGCACGGGAGTGATCTCGAATCAAATGTCTTGTATAAGTGAAGTGATGTTGGTGATATCTTTGGAGATGTTAAATGTGTCAGGACATGGGCGACCTTATTCCTCCGTCTTTAAGCAGACACCCAACAAACTGGATGCAGCACTTTGCCACAACCCTGTATATATATATATATATATATATATATATATATATATATATATATATATATATGGTTTGGAGATAGAGGGGATGAGGGAGACGGCAAGTTTGCCGCGAAGGCAGTTCGAACTCTGAGGAAGCTCCGTTATTAGCCTGGGACGAATGATGGGAGAACGACATTGATGGTTAGACCGTCGTTGGCCGGGCCAAGACTAGGGGTCTCTGACCATGGCTTAGTGTGTAAGGCTCGTATTTCCCTAAGATGCCCGTCGAGGGACGGATTGACCTTCTGGGGCGCTTTGTCCTCTGGGTGTACCATTCTAGGTAAATTCGTACTGACTTTGAAAGCACAGACCATATTACCTTGCCAAAAACGAGCGCAGATGGCATTTGTGCGGAAGCCAAAAACAGGATTTTTGGCAATGTACGAAACTTACAGGAACAATACGGATCTCAGTGCTTCTGTACAAGCTTCCAGAAGAACCCACTTGGGAGCGACCAGTACCGGGAGTCTCTTGTACCGGCTCTGCACGCACAAGTATGTCCATCGGCCGTGGGAACCCAGCAGCAAGCTCCAGTGAAATGCTGTCAATGTCAGTCAATGCTCATAATCGTTGCTAGCTATGCTTAGCTTTATGCTCAGCTTGTTGGATCAACAAGCCAGTAGCAGGGATTCGTACACTGAAGGAACTATGCGAACAGGTGGCGAGCGTGTCAACAATCCTTCGGCTTGTAGATTTGGTTTACGGCATACGCATGATATTGCATGGCAAGACTCAACACCGAAGACCAGCATGTAGTCACCATGCTTTTTTAAAGTCCTGTTTACGATGCTGACAGAACATGCCCGTCAATATGTGCGCTATAAAAACGATCGTAAAGATAGATACAAAAAATATCCGTGCCAATGGGACTGAATACTGCATTTTGAGCACCTAAATTATTTTCTTCTGATGCTGGTTGCTGGCTGCTGCTGACTGGAATCTTTATCGTATCGAGGGCTGGAGCGGCTTGCTGTCTTGTCCGAAGAACTGAGCTGCAGGTAGTGTGTGGGTGTTGCGGAGGAGGAGGCCCAAGAAACTTCAAATGAATACGACCCCACACCCCTAGCACCCATCACACCTTTGTTTTTAAACATTGTCGTAATGACGCTTTAAAGGCCTCTGATACTGATAAATATGCTTTTAGTTTATTGTCATGCGGTCAAAGCGCCTAAACAGCCAAATGTTGTCACGCGTCGCTTAGTCTTGGTCTTTACCGACCGCGAATAGTGGTGACAATCATGACTCTCAAGGAAGATGCTTTACCTAAAGTGCTGTGCGTTTTGCTTGATGCTGAGAACGTTGACGCTTATGGACGTCGATCTATGCTCTTCCTCAGCGTTACTGACCAGTGGTGAGCAAGCTGGGGTCTGGTGCATAGGAAAGCTCGCGTGTATGTGTAGATGAGAGCTTCTCTCGCCACCTGGCATGCCGCAAATACCACAGGAAACTGCTGTCTGATGACCCAAGTGGAGCTGGCTTTTGTTAAGCTGCGATGCGGTATTAGCTCGCAAAACCACAGCCGATTCCGGACATACTATGCCGTCATATAGTTCAAGTAATTTGGAAAACACAGGAGACATAACCAAGATAGCATAAGCCAAACAATTCATGCGAGTGTACATTGAATGACACAAATGTGTCGTGAAGACGAACCTCCTGTACAAGACATGAGTGTTCATGTCTGGCTGGTGCACAAAACTTCATCGGTAATTTGGAACGCAGTTGCATCTCCAGCATTTCGTAAAATTAGAAGTACGCTTATGCATAACGCTACATGGAAAGCATCGACTGGCAAAACCAGTTTGCTTTCGTTATACTTAACCCGCGCCCAGCCGGGGAAAAGTTCACTTCTTCCTACCTTTTTTCGACCACAGGTCAAAAACAACCCTCGTAGCGACACAAAATTTTATCACCTGATCATCTATCGATGCAGCATCTTTTATGCGTATTTCAAGTTTTAATCTAGCAAAATCACTTACCTAGGTCAGGTCAAAGAGGTCAATCGCTAAAATTATTCCCACACATAACTTTTTATAATTTACCATTGTTTAAACTTGGTGTAGTAATAGAACATGACAGTGCCCACAATTTGCATATTTCAGATTTTTCGGAAAATGTGAGGTCATTGACCTGAAGTCAGGCCATTTTTCGCTATTCGCTCATATTCGCTGTAATGCAAGCTTGTACGATTTTTTATGTAATTCTGGTGTTGTGCAGGAGGAAGAGAGTAGTAACTTACATGCACAACCATCATATGACCACAGAGGACGCAACTTCTTTCTATAGCTACCTTCCGTAAAGCGCGTGCTGAGCTCAACATAGGCGGTTTTCCTTGGTAATTTTGGGCGCAGAATTCGAATAAACCCCTGAAAACATTTTTAGATATGATTGCAATGCATAATGAAGTCACAATAGGTCATCCAAGGTCAGTTGCCTATGTTGCCAATAACGGAGAGACCAGATGAACGAATGCGCCGCGTGTAACCACCCCCTTGCCGTGTTGGTGAAGCCGAGGACGTCTGATTTCATGTACCAACATACCTGCTTTCAGTTTGTTACAAATACATTGCCAAGCGTCGAAGTGACTACGCATAATGTGCACAACAGCTATGCGATCTTCAGTACTTATAGATGTCAAATACACTATTTCTGACCACAAAAAGTATAGTACCGGTCACATGGACGGGGTTAGCGCTTAAAAAATTGTCACTGCATGGGTTGTAAATCTGACCTTAGTTGACCTCATATGACCTCTAGGTCACCCTGAAGTAGTAATATGATGTCTGAAATGTGTTTTCCTACAGCTACATCTAATAAAATAAACTTAGTCAGAAGCACATTGTCAAGAAAAATATCGTTCTCGTGGGCTCCTGGTAGATCAATTCTGAGTGATGAGCTGATTTGACCTGGCCCGTGTAGGGTGACAGGAATATCCGGAATGGACTCCCCACAGCCTTAACGCTTATTTCCGTGCTCTCGTGCATCTTGACGCCTTAACATAAGTTTTACCTGCATCCATCAAAACGGCAGTTTTTGACCTTTCGTGGCTTTTGGTAATCTCACATTTGACACAAGGTCACAAATCTCGGGTGCGTGGTTCGTGATTTGACGAGACGTTCAAAACGGTATCTTTGTTTTCTCATACGCTGTCTGTAAGTTGGACATCACAGGGGAAGGTCAATCTTCCCCCTCCCCGGCCCGGCGCGCTTGTCTCAGACCCCCGGCCGGGCACGGGTTAGGTTTCGGTTCCGGTCTTTTCGTCACAACGTGCGCAATAAAAACGAAAGATGATTCCCCACACCTAGGTTCAATACCACCAAACATGTGTTTCTGCGGAACATAATGACTGGTGCAGCGGCCACCCTAGAAACCACACCCTGTATGACCTCTAATTCCCCGGACATGAGAGCACTGTCAGCGATGTCGATGCACCGGATACGACATCGGACACCTGTGCACACCTGTGCTCGGCTGAAGGGGCATATAAGCTGATTGCAACGCTGCACGGATCACCAACCAGCCATGAACACCCTCGTCCTGACGTGGTGTTTGGTCGTGGGTGGCTCCCTCGCCGTGCCCTCTCAGCGGGGGAAGCAACTAGTGGCAGAAATGTCCCGCGACGGTGGGCGTCTAGATGAGAGCGCGTCACTCCTGTCGCTTGAAGCGTTGAACGGGAACGATTTTTCACGTGGTCCTTTAGCCTTTGATCCACAAATCGTGCCTGCCAAGTCAGAAGAGAGGCTGGAGGCGGCGGCTTTGTTGCTAAGTGTAAAGCGGGGGGCAAACGGGCTGAGTCTGAAGCGGGGAGTACACGGGGTGAGTCTAAAGCGGGGGGTGAACGAGATGAAACTAAATGGCGAGCTTAACGGGAGGTCTCGCCGTAACGTCTTGCGACTTCCTCCTGGTCGGTATTATATTGCATCTCCTCGTTACCCCAGAAATTATCGTAATAACATCAATATCGTCTACATAACCCTGCGAGGCAGTCAGAACCAGGCCATCCGCATCCGCTGCCCCGACGTCGATATAGAGAGAAGGAGATTCTGTGCGGCTGACTGGCTTGCTATAAATAGGGTCAGGTACTGCGGAACAGGCAGAATCCGCCAGCAAAGCAGTACCTCGCTGAGGATTCGGTTTAGGACGAACCGCCGCGTTACACGCCGAGGCTTCATCTGCTTCATCACCGTGCCCGCCGTCGCTACAACGGCGCCGCCGATGACAACGACGCAACCGACGACAACGCAGCCAACGACGACGACGCGGCCGACGACAACGCAGCCAACGACGACGACGCGGCCGACGACAACGCAGCCAACGACGACGACGCGGCCGACGACAACGCAGCCAACGAACACGACGCGGCCGACGACGACGACGATGCCGTCCACCAGTTCCTGCTGCGGCCAGGCCAACCGGCGCAGCAGGGTCGTGGGCGGCACCGAGACCGACGTCAACGAGTACCCGTGGCAGGCCGGCCTGGTGCGCCCCGGTGGCACGCGCACCTTCTGCGGCGGCAGCGTCATCAATAGCCGGTACGTGCTGACGGCGGCGCACTGCACGGCCGGAGCATCTGCCTCCCAGATCCAGGTGCTGCTCGGCGACCACCGGATCAGTGTGCCGGACGGCGAGACCCGGTACCCGGTCGTCCAGATCCTGCAGCACCCGCAGTTTGTTAGTGCCAGTACCGGGTACGACTTCTCACTGCTGCGCCTGGACCGCACCATCGTCTACGACAGCCGGGTGGCTCCCGTCTGCCTGCCGCAGGCCGGCCAGACGTACGCCGGCGTCACGGCCGTGGCCACCGGCTTCGGCCGCGTTGGGGCCAACATGCCGCAGGCCGACATGCTCCTCGAGGTCGAGCTGCCCGTCTTGACGCAGACGCGCTGTACGCAGATCTGGGGCAGCCTTGTGCGTGAAAGCATGATCTGCGCCGGTGGGCTCCCCTCCGGCGGCAAGGGCGTCTGCAACGGCGACAGCGGCGGCCCGCTGGTGACGTCCGTCTCCGACCGCTACACGCTCATCGGGCTCACATCGCTGGGCAGCCCTTGCGCTAACCCCAACACTCCGGACGTGTTTGCACGCGTCACATCGGCGCTGACATGGATCGAGGAGAGCACGACCGACGCCGTGCTCTGCATCTAAACCCCGCACAGGACCGAGACAGGCTCACATGGAGACCAAAGGCACGCCAAGCACGATCCGTATTTCAACGTGGGTCGAGGCGAGGGATCACGAAAAGGGGTCACAACAAGGGGTCGCGGCGGATGGTGACCAGGGAGGGGAGAGGACATCACGGCACGGAAGGCAAGAACTGAACGTTACAAAAAAGCACTTGAACAACATAAAGGCACGTCAATGGACAACATTCACATTCTTTGGCACCATGCTGGCATTCGGTCTGTTCGTATTTTTATTTATGCCGTGGGTATTTTGCGCAGCCCCACATATGCGCATTACCTTTTTCTCTTTGCAAGTATGACCATTCCATGGATTGTTTGCTATGTCTATGTGAGGACATATGGGACAAAATTGCTGTGACATTATGGTGTTCCAATGGATACTGTTTTGTGTGGGATATGTTCTACTGTCTTTTAAATACAGTTCCTTCTCGAGCACGTTTCCAAATATCGGACGCTTTCAGAACGCCTCCGAACGAAAGCGGACTGACGAGCTTCCACGTATATTTCAGCTGGAAGCATCGCATTCCTGTGCCCATTTCAAACGTCGATGATGATTGCGGTTTTAGGGCGCGCCGACTTTTGGGGCCATTTTGCGTCCACATTTCAAACGTCAAAAGGCTTCGAAAATGTTTTGTAGTTTCATTTATCCAGGTAAACCAAAATATCCACGTACGAAAAAGCAGCCTTCCAGTCGCTGACAAAAAAAAAACTGACAACCGTTTTGGTTTTGTTTGACCGATACATTGTGCACTAAAACCGATGGAAGGAAAGCATCACTATCGCAATTGCATACCCGTTTCCCAGAAGGGCGTACTGCGGCCAAAACCTAGTGTGACTATTGCGGCGTATTTTGTCTTCGACAAAGGAAGGAAATAATGCAATAAGACCACCCTATGGCACACAATTACGACGCCAGGCTGCCTGAGGATTGACTTTTCAAGCTAACCTTCCTAGACAGACATCAAATTTGGTAGCAAATCTGAACTTCATGCAAGTTTGGATAAACACAAACAAAAGGCATGGAATGTCGTAATGGCTTTCAATATAGCCATTCAATTTTACACAGGAATACTACCAGTTTTCGTTTCACCTCAGAAATATGCTTACTTCATCAGTGCGCACTGTCAAATGCACAGCGCACCCATAAAAGCCTCTCGTGTATGGGAAGACCTAAGCATTACAAAATCAATTAACCGGCAGGACTGGAGTTGGGACAGCCCTCTCCAACTCCTTCGTGTACTGCCGTTCAGGTCGGCACCAGGTCAGTGACTGACCAGATCGAAAAGCAGGATGTATGCTTCGCTGCTGTTGGCGCGGTGCATAAGGATGGGCTGGCCTCTGGAATCGTTGCACTCATACCGGACTTCAAAACAGGTGTGTATACGGTTATCGTGTGGTAGCCCAAGCACACCACACCAGAATGGTGTGTCACACCGAAGACGCTGTACTTGCGGTCTCCCGACACGGCAAAGTATGGTGTTAAGTCCAGACTACCGGAGTAGCAGTCCGCAGTGACATTGAGCTCATTTCCGTTCTGATCCAGCTGCAGCAAGAGTAGTTTCAGGTGCGCCACGAAGATACGTGGGAGCCGCTGAATCGTGAATCTCTCGGAGCCCTTTTGATGCTCCTGGCACATGGAGCACGTCGCTTTTTATTTTCCGTCAAGCAGCTCTTCTTTGGTAAGGCCAAAGCAGCCATGCAAACACGCCTGGCCCGTCATGGGTGTGATCAGCAGGTTCAGGTCCCAGAGCGGGTCAAACGCCACAAACGCGTGGCCGCCATGGGCGCAGTAACTATGTTTTAGTTGGGTGAACGGCCAAAATGGGCCTTTATGATTATTAGTGGGCACTATGCAAGCCGGAACGGACCTTTTACAGCAAATAATGGGAACTCTACGGATCAGAATGGCCCCATAGCATCAGAATGGGCTTCCTTCAGGACGAAATAAGCCCTCCATAGTCAATAATGAGCCCTCTACAGCTTAGAACGGATGCACGACAGCCCAGACTGGGACCTCTATGGGTCATGATAGACCCTCGTTAGGTTAGAGTGGGCCCTTTACAGGCCAGAATAGCCTCTACACAGCCAATAATGGCTCATCCACAGGCCGGAATGGTCCCTCCATAGTCAATTATAGGCATTCTGCCGGTCAGAATTGACTCTATGCAGGCTCAGGAATGCCTTCTTTTGGTCAGAATGGATCCTAGATAGACTAGAATGAGCCCTCGACATGCCGGAATGAGCCCTGCACAGGCCCTTCAAGTTGAGGGCCACTGTTCCCTCCGCCGGTCTTCAAATTGGGGGAGGGAGGCAAGCTGTCCTTAGCGCCCCTCCCCTCCTCCCAGGTTCCTGCATCCTTCTTGGCCGCACACCGTTCACCGTAGCGTAGACTTATGCTTTTCGACAAACATATCAACAGACTTCACTTTCTTCAGGAACAGGAAACGCTTACAGGCCTCCAGCGGTTCTGGCTAATACTAACACTGTCATCGATGTGGGTGGGTTAGGGTTTGGGTTGGGTGTTGATACGGTCCACGTCATCGCAGAAGCTCTCCAGCAGGTTTGTGAGGAACTCTTGCGTGTCCTGCGGCTGATAGCCCATGAATCGGGCCGTACATCGCTGACATTGTATCTTCAATGAGGAGGTGGTCAGCAGCCAGTTAGCCCTATAGGTCCGTCAGCTACGCTATGGGCCTCGCATTAGCTTGGTAAATGTTGTGATGTCAGCACCTTTCATGGCGGAGGTGGCCGTGTTCATGTCTCCCGAGCGTCTTGTGGGATGTAATCATGCAGGGTGGGGGTGTTGCTCAAACGTTGCCGGGCCGCATTCATGAAGCACGTATTACCGATGCTCCGGAGTCCCGTAAAGCCGAGCAGCCGTGTCGCGGGCCGCGCCTCACCGCCTTCTTCGCCCGCGCTAATGATCTCCGAGTGGCTCGACGAGTAGACGGCCGGGCCCGGGCATGCGACCGGACGGAGCTGCTCTCAGCTCCTCCGTTCAGTACGCGCCCGCTCGGCTTGTTGCTTCCCCTTCCACTCGTTCCGGATGCTGCCCAGCTGCTCAGTGGGCTTCCTCAGCTCGGCCTGCAGCTCCGGAAGGCGACACCCTGAGCCTGGCTTCATCGGGCTGTCATGCAGACCTGGGAGGTGGTGACGATCCGTCAGAGAGTATCTGGAGGGCTCACACTCAGGGGTCACGAGCTAGGCGTTCCAGCAAGCGGGCTAATGATGTTTTTGGCTGCCTCCGGATGTGATGCCCAGCTTACCAGTCTGTTTGCCTTGGGCGTACGCCACTGATGCGCGCTGACAGGCACCTTGTGGGAACTAGTTGTGACGAGCACGGAGGCAGCATTGCCACGGATGACGGCGTTTGATAGCCGCTGCCAGAGCCAGCCAGACTCAAGTTGATCTCCAGATGTGTTGACAAGCCGCGACCCCAACTCTCTCTGATACATGCCTTAGTG